ATTTTAAAAGGAGCAGATGATTTCAAAGTCTGCCCTCAAAGCTGACACCTAAAAGCAGAGAGACAAAGCTGTGGCCAAAGCTGAGAGGTTCATTCCAGGTGGAGAAGTGCAGCTCCCTCTGTGCTCCCAAAGAAATGAGGGGATGCAGGAGAGGGTTGTTACAGGATTGTCACGTGTGTTTTTGAGCTGTTTGGTCCATCCAGACCTCCCTCTCAAGGAAGAGCAGGAGGTGGATTAGCACCTCCTGGAATCCCTGTGCAGGAAAAGCTGAACTGTGAGAGGGATGAACATCCCCAGACCAACTCCTCGCTGCCCTCAACACCAACTCAGGAAGGAAACCCCCTTCTCCTGGCTCCTCCTGATCCATTTACACACTTCTTAACCTCAGGTGTTCAAAAGAGGGACATTTTATAAGGCAAAAAGCAAAAGAAAATCCACGTGCCACCACTCCATGTGATCACTTTTGGGATCACATTTACAGGTCCCTGCGTTGGCACCTCCACAGGTGAGCTGAGTTCTGGCAGCAACACTCTGCCCAGGGGGAAGGCTCATTCCCATCTTCCCCATTTTCCTGGCCTCTTGTTTGAACAGGAAGGGAAAATTTCCAATTCATGAAAGCACTGAGAGGTGAGAAGATGCGCTTTGCTAATTCTAAAGCCTCGTTTCTCGCCGTTCCCAAATATTGTGACTACAGGCTTGGATCCATCACTGCACACTTTGATGGGCTAAATAATGAAAGAATACACAAGCCTCTAATTTCACACTGCCTTCAATTCCCATTTCCAAAGACAGCTAGAAAACAGGAATAGAAACCAAACCAGTAAAAAAGAAACACGCCCTTCTCCATTTCTAACTTGGAGAACATAAGAATTAAAAAAAATAATCAAAATAAACTCTTACACAGCTTTATATTTGCTCAGATAAGCATTTTCCACAGAAATGTCCAAACTGCTTCTAGGTACAGGGCACTGGGGTCAGTGTAGGACATGACTTGGAGGACAACATGTTTTAATGATTTGCAACCAACGAGCAGCCCCCCCCAGCAGGAAAAATAACCCAGCACCTAATTGCAAAACAATATTTTAATTGTCAGCTTTAATTTAGGTTTCCTACTCAGATTTAAATCTTCTTTTTTTTTTTTTGCCAAACTGCATCGATTTAACTCAATCAGCCCTGCCCGAAGGCCATCTTTCCTGCAAGCTCTGAGCATACCAAGCAAGTTTTAGCCAATTAGATAAATCACTGAATCTCATAACTTCCTAACAGCAATACATCAAGCCGTGCACAAGCCATAATTAATTTTTTAAATACATATTATCTCGAAAACTCGGCGAAATTAAGCAGCTCAGGAGGCATTTCACCATCCTTTATGTTATGGGCTTTTTTTTTTTTTTTTTTAACCTAAGGCACATGATGGCCTGAAACCCAGCCAGCTGAATTCTGCAGAAGACTTGCACGGTCACTGCAAACCCACCTCTGTTTATTAGTCCTTAGGATGACGGGGATAACACTGATGCACCAGTTTTATTCATTTATATATGTGTGTATATATATATATATATATGTGTGTGTGTACACCCACACCCACACACTGCAGCCTTAAGGTGTTACACTCATGAGCACAGTCAGGAAAACCAGGCAGCAATATTATGGGCTCAGCAGGAGCAAAATCCTGAAAAATGGAAGTTTCTAGCACAAACAGCTTCACGGGGACCCTCAGCACAGTCCCCATCACCACCAGTGGAAATATGCTCTTCTGACACTACACAGATTGCTGAAAGATTCCCATGACAGGCAGAGGATTAAAAAGCAATTCCCCGGCTCTCGTATTTCACATGCAAAGCCGTATTTCAGAACGGGCAGGCAGGAAAATACGGATCTCTCCCAAACTCGAAAATGCGTGTATTCCGTAAAAAAAAAAAAGAAAAAGAAAAAAGAAAAAAAGCCCTCGCCGTGACACCTTAAAACGGCAACACCAAAGCAGGAACTACCCCGTGGGGACGAGGAACAGCGCTGCAAACCCGACCCAGCATTGTATTACGAAAAAGCCCTGCAAATTCCAGGCAATCTGCAAATGATTTCCCCCCTTCCCCACCCAAACATCCACTGCGAACTCCCACAACCGCGAGTCAGGATTGCAGCAGCCAAAGGCACGGAAATAAAACCGTTCCTTACCTTTAACTTGAGTGTCATACTCGGCTATGATCTCCTTATCCTTTTTGAATTTTGCTGGCGACGTCATGTTTTCTTTTCCAAAAAAGCTTCACCTCCGAAAGAGATCCCCCCGGAACGCGAGATATAAAGGGCAATTTCACTCCTCTCCACGCGATGCCTCGATTTTCTGCTCGTCCTTCCCCCCTCCCCACCCAAAAAAAAAAAAAAAAGGGGGGGAAAAAAAAAATCAAAAAAATCAGTCCATGGAGAGAGGGTGTGAGAGGGAGCACAGCAGCAGGAAAATGCAGATGTTGAGATCAGCGGATGGAAGAGGCAGCAGTTTTGTCTCCCTGCACCAAATCCTTGAGCAGCAGCATCAGCCTAGTGAGATCCTGCAGCCCCCAAAGGCTCTTCCTGATCCTTAACAGCACAGCCAGGGAGTGGAAGTCCTTCCGCACAACATGTTTTGTGTGGGTTTGGTTTGCCTTTTCTCTTTTTTTTTTTTCCCCTCTTTAATTTATTTATTTATTTATTTCTCCTAATGGGCTCGGGAGATGATGCAAATCAAACCCCAGCTGAGAGCAGAAGCGGAGGACGAGGAGCCTTTTCCCTTTGGTGTTTTGCTCGCCTGCAAACGGAAAAGAAAACAAAAATAAAATAAAATAAAATATATAGATGATAGATAGTTAAAAAATTGCAGCTTGCAGACGAAATCTGCGATGGGAAGAAACGCTGCCCTGCCACCCTGACATTGCAAATCGTCCTTTGAGCAGCAGCAGGAGCAGAGCAGCAGCGCGGGGTTCCAACTGCAGCCCCGCCAGGTGACCCAGGGAACACACCCACCCCGGGGCTGGGCCGGGGAGAGGCTCCCAGGGGAGAGGGGGCTGATCAGGGCATGGTTTGGGGAGAGGGAGCTCCTGACGGGAGCGGGGGCT